ACCAGACTGGCCTTCAACTCACTGAGATCCACCTGCCTCTGCTTCCCAAGTGCTGGGATTAAAGGCCCAGCACCCTTTTCTAAAGAGAAACAAAGGAAGAGGGGGGAAACATGAAGTAGGCAGGAGGAACTGGGAAGAGAGGTGGGAGGGAAAACTGCATTGGGATGTAAAAATGAAAAATAAAAACAAAACAAAACAAAACAGCAACAACAACGAAAAAAAAAAAAACCAAAGCAACAGTTCTCCTTTCTAAACGTGCATAGGAACTGGATTAAAAACCAAAACAAAAACCCCAAGCTTACAACCCAGACCAAAAGATCAAAAGCTATATGGAAGACCTTGAGGCCTGTATTTCAGCCGATTCCCACAGCTTAAGACAGTATTTTATAAATGTGATGGATACTTAGGCTTGTATTATCTCTTGTAATTGTGATGTACGATCTGGATAAAATGAATGTGGGACACCAAAGCTCTTCCTTAGGTGTGTAGTAAACAAAAAGCAGAGGGGTTTTCAATGGACAAGCAGTTAACGAACAATGGCTCTGTTCTTGACAAGACTGGGTCTCAAGCAATTCTGAAATATCACCTGAATTTTAGTGAGCTGAATATTTTCATAAATTGAGTAATAAAACCAATAAATTAAAAATATAATTAAAGATATAAATAATGGACAATTATTTATATTTAAATAGAATATTTTGTATTGAGAATTTCAATTTTCAGTATATTTTGATTATATTCTTTCTTTTCCAACCCATCCCAGATCTTCCTCACTTCCCTACCCACCCAACTTAGTGTTCCTAATAACTCTTAAATGGAAATTTTTAATAGTGACATTATTGACTTCATATAGCTGATCTTCCTTATAGTCTTTAATTCTGTGGGTGTACGTATATGTATGCATACATGTTCATCATATGGGTGTGTACACATGTGTGCAGGGGTGGTTGTCAGGTGTTTTTGTCAGTTGGTCCTCATATTTGAGACAGGGTCTCACTGAACCTCTAGCTCATCAGTTGCAATGCTGGCTGTATGGCCAGTGGGCTCCAAGGGTCCACCTGTCTCTTTTTTGCTGCCTCAGTGCTAGGATTACAGACATGTGCTACTATACCTGGCTTTTATATGAGTGCTAGGAGCTCTAAAATCTTGTACAGCAAGCACTTTACTGGCTGAATCATGTCTTCAGTTCTACAGTCTTTTAATTCTTCTATAGAGAATAATCTTATTGTAGGAAAACTGGTAGAGTTGCTGATTTTCCAATTGTTCACCAAGCCAGAATACTGCATGCTAATGAATCAGAAGACTGTATCATTTTATTACTGATTTTTATGTGTTTTGGTAAATCTCTGGGACAATCTTCTAAAATAAAGATCAGCATTTATAGAGACTTATGCCAATTCTCAAAATTCTCCTCTGGCCAAAACCCTTTAGAATGGTAAATTCTTATACAGATGTTCATTTTACTGACACTCATGAGGCTGCTGCCAGTGAACAAATAAATTATAGCACCTGGCCCCTCCACTGGACATGTTGACTTCAGTAAGAGAACCCTTACTTCTCTGGTGTCCTGCATCGTGACTGACTGTGCCTCTGTTTCCCAGAATCCTCCTCGACTCCTAGTCCCACCTATCTTGCTTCTCTATTGGCCAACAGTGCTTTTTTCAACAACCAATAAGACAGCATATATACAGGACTTCCCCCATCAGATGAGCACATATATATGTCTATTATACATGTTCACAGTTCTTTGGTTTTATCTTAAAATTGGAAGAGCGGCAGTTGTATACTGTTGATACAGTTGGGAAGTAGGTTTTGTTCATACTTTTGAGTTCACCATTTACTTTCAGCCACATAAAATGTCAAAGTCATTCTATATGTATTTGCTTTCTGTAAAAGTTGAAATTAAATTATTTCCTGAAGTTAGTCATATGCCTGTAAAATTAGTGAGCATCCATTCTTCTGCAAGTGTCTGCTGTGCTGTTTTTCTACACAAGCACTGTGCTGTTGCGTCAGTCAGATCAGTGCCTCTGTGGCTCTCTGCATTGTTTGGTGTGTGTGTGTGTGTGTGTGTGTGTGTGTGTGTGTGTGTGTGATGTGTGATGTGTGTAAGTACTTGTGGAAGCCAGAAGAGGCCATTGAATACCCTGGAGCTGTAAACTCCTAAGACAATATGGGTTCTGGGAGTTGATCTTGGATCCTCTGGAAGTGTAGAATGTGCTCTTAATCACTTGGCCATCTCTCCAGCCCCTAAACCTCTTCCTTTGTCAGTATTCATTGTGGGGACCTGGAGAGTGCAGTTTATTGTCTTCATTAACTCTGCTAATGAGAAGTTAATAAAGTCAAGAAACAGTGAGTCATGTGAAGCAAGTTTTAAGTAATTTCTTTAAATACTGTGTTTTGTTTTTTCTTTATGAACATGCTTAATATCAACTGTGTGACAGGTCACTTTTTAAAGGCAGGATATACCATTGGATACCATGACAAATGCTGAAGAGCCGTGGAATTGCTTTGTTAAGTAAAACCCCATCCGACCATAATTGCCTAACCAAGGACTGAAATGAGATTTTATTAATATCTGGTCAGTAAAGCCCTGAGAGCACCCAGCAGTCCCCACCCTCCCGCTCCCAGTGCTACCAGTAGCCTTGGAAGGAAGTGCTTTTGCCACAGTTGATCTTAGTCATCACCATGATTTCAACCATAAGCAGCATGACTAAGACCCTCAGCATAGCACCATGGGCACAAAAACGTCACTGTAATGAAACTTTAGAAATAGTAAGATATTCAGTATAAGAAGCATATGGTTCTGGGGAGGTGGCTCAGTGGGCAAAACAAGTGTGAGGATCTGGGTTCAAATCTCCAGAACCCACATGAAAACTGATTATGGTGATATATCTGTAATCCCAGTGCTTCTGGAGGCGAGAGGTGGAGAGAACAAATTTCCAGAAGTTTACAGGCCAGCTAGCCTGGTGAATACAGCAATAAAAACAGAGGTCCCAACCCAAACAAAGTAGAAGGCAAGGACTGACAAAGTTGTTCTGTGATCTTCCATGCATACTCTCTGCACCGCTGATGAAGAGCCCCCCCTCCCAGAAATTAACTTATTATGTGTGTCCTGGTGGGGGAGCAGCTTTCATAAGTGTATGTTTTAGGCCTAATCTTGTGAAGGTCTTGTATGAATAACCACAGCTGCTTGGATTTCAAGATGGCAATATCCATATCATATTTGGAGGATGGTTCACTGCCCTCAGGACCGACTAGGAAACACTAGGACCTACACATGACATACACACGACATGGACCCATGACATACTTCCTTCCTGCTCCATACAGGGGACCCCTAGTTCCTCAGAGTTCTCACAGCCTCCCATGAGGGAGAATTGATAGAGACTAATAATGTAGCAGACCTTTCTTGCTGGAGCAGCAATGAAGATCAGGAAAATAAAAAAGATGTCACGAGCACCCAACCACCTTTCTGTAGGTAGCTCACAACTTCATTTACCAGCACAGATACTCAGAAAGGCTGAACCAAGCTAGCCATGACAATGCCAGCTGAGAAGTATGTTCTTAAGACTGAAAAGAGCAGGGCTGAGCAAATTATGGCTGGCCATCTGTGCCATCATCTGATTGGTCACTGGATGTGACAAAATGAATGGAAATTTACCCATAAGAACTGGCTAGACTGGACACATGGGGAAAGGCCTAGGTCCTGCCCTGGATGAAATGACAGACTTTAGAGATCCCCCAAGGAGGGCCTCACCTTCCCTAGGGAATGATGTGGGGATTAGATGGGGGTCTAGGGGGCTGGTGGAGGGACAAGGGAGGAGGGGTGGAAGAGGAAGCTGGGATTGACATGTGAAGCATTGATGTTTTAATTTAAATAAAAACATTACAAAAAAGAACTGGCTAGAACCCTTCTGATGACATAGTATGCTTACAAAGATATTAATTATTCTATGGGAGTTTCAGGGGCAATTTTGACACGTTTGAAAATAAATATTAACAATTATTTTAAATGTAAAAAAAGAACTGGCTAGAAGATTGATCCTGAAGAAGTGCTTGTCTTTTGCCTGTTCACTGAATAACTTGAAGCATCTGCATTATGGGCTTCTTCATTTTCTTTAGAAACCTCTTTTTGGTAATGATAAACATGCTTTTTAAGCTTAAGTCTGACTTATACCTTTAAGGCTTTAAGGTTTCACAGTTGGTCAGAATGAGATTATTGAAAACATCATTTTAAATGTGTAGCTTCAAGAAGCAAATCCCTGGCCCCTTAATCATGACTGCCGAAGTTTGTACTGCAACATTTAGCCTCCCAGTGGGGATAGTTACTTCCTCTGAGTCGTCAGTGCTTGGAATGACCTAAGAAAAAACATTTCTTTTTCTCTCTTCTAGCTCTGGTGAGTGGCAAAGCATGTTACATTTATAGCAACTGAAAATTCCAGTGGCTTGGTCCTCCCTAGCGGATGGCAGCAGTACTGGTTTGAGGGATGCTCTGGAGAAAAACAAAAGCTCAGTTGTTCTTCCTCATTCTGAAAACACTTTTCTTCACCTCATCCTGTTCTGAAAGCCTCAGAAATAAGACATGAAGCACAGGCAGGTATTAAGTCTGCTCGGGGGCCATATTAACCACTTTAAGCCTTCTGGTGACCAGAGGACTTAAAGCAGCAGTGCTATGACTTCCAGACTTTCTGTTCTGCCACATGACTGGCTTTTAAAAACTTCAACAGTGATTTTATTAGTGTTAAAAACTCCGGGAGAGGCAGTCTGGAAATCTTAGCATCTTCCCAGAGGCAGTAGATCGAGATGAGGAAGAGAGTTAGGCATGGAAGTTGGGCGAGCAGCCTTGTGGCAAAAGGGACACAGCTTCAGAGTGAAAGCATACTTAGGCTCTGGCAAGTATCTGAAAGAAACAAAAAAGAGTTATTCAGAAAAGTGGGCAGGTAAATGTAATGGACAGTAAACCAGGACTCATTTATTTTTATATGTGTCACCTATTTCAGGGCTCATTGTTGGAGTGATCCTGAGGTATGGCACCCCTGCTACCAGTGGTCATGACAAGTCACTCAGCTGTACTCAGGAAGACAGAGCCTTCAGCACCTTGTTAGTGAATGTCAGCGGGAAGTTCTTTGAGTACACTCTGAAAGGAGAAATCAGCCCTGGCAAGATCAACAGCGTGGAGCAGAACGACATGCTGCGGAAGGTGAGCCGGCGCCATGGCTGTCGGGCAGCGTTGCTGATTCCCTGGCTTCATGGCGACCTTGAGAGAAATCCTTCTCAACTGCTGGAACATCAGGCACATTCCTGTCTCATGGCTTTCTAGAGTGCTTCTGCATCAGGATGAGGCGAGGAAGAGCCAGACTGTAACTTGATCTCTTCAGCTTTCTGACCTTCTTAGCTGGCTAGCATCTATAGTCATGGGCTGCATGCTTGCATATCCCACTTGCCCTGTTTTCTTGTAACCTTGCTGTGCCTTAGAAATGAGGTTATCTTTCTTAAAATAATATTCATTTCCCTTTAGCTTTGTCAGTATTCTCAACTACAAGTCTTAGTTCTCCATGTCTCTCTTCACATAGTCTTCAAATACTTGAGTGCTTAAACTGACTGGTGACTGATGCCAAAGACTTACCTAATCTTCAAAGGAAGAAGGGCTTGTTTTAGGAGAATTTAAGTGCAAGCATTGTTTTGTTTTCTTTTTGACAGTTTAAGCGGAAGTTTATTTGGAAAATCAATCAAGCATTCCAAAGAGATTGTAGTAGGCTTCCTCAAAGGTGGTAGCAGACTAGGGTGCTCCATGTTGTAAATATTTTTTAAAAATTTAAATTACAAACAAGCTTGCTTCACATGTCAATCCCAGATCCCTCTCCCTCCCCTGCTACCCAGCCCCACACCAATCCCCCAAACTCCCACCCAATTCCCAGGAAGGGTGAGGCACTCCATGGGGGATATCCAAAGTCTGTCATATCATCCGGGGCAGGGCCTAGGCCCTCTCTTATGTGTCCAGGCTGACAGAGCATCCCCCCATGTGGAATAGGCTTCCAAAGTACATTCCTATGCCAGGGATAAATACTGATCTACTGCCTGAGGACCCATAGATTGCCAAGACTTCCTCATTGACAGCCAAATTTAGGGGGTCTGGAACAGTCTCATGCTGGCCTCTCAGCCATCAGTCTGGGTTCCATGAGCTCCCCCTTGTTCAGTTCATCTGTTTCTGTGGATTTCACCAGCCCAGTCTTGCCCCCTTTGCTCATCACTCCTCCCTCTCTGCAACTGGGCTCCAGGAGTTCAGTTCAGTGTTTAGCTGTGGGTGTCTGCCTCTGCTTCTATCAGCCACTGGATGAAGGTTCTAGGATGGAATATAAGGTAGTCGTCAAACTCATTATCAGGGAAGGGCATTTAAGGTAACCTCTTGACTATTGTTTAGATTGTCAGTTGGTGTCATTCTTGTAGATCTCTGGAAATCTCACTAGTGCCAGATCTCTCCTCAAACCTATAATGATTCTCTCTATTATGGTATCTCTCATCCTGCTCTCCTCTATTCTTCCCGTGACTCAACCTTCCTGCTCCCCCATGTCCTCCTCTCCCCTCCTCTTCTCCCTCTTTCTCCCAGTTCCCTTTTCCCTTCCCACATGCTCCCAACCTGCTCAGGAGATCCTGTCCCATTCCCCTTCTCTGGGGTACCATGCATATCTCTGTTGGGGTCCTCCCTGTGTCCCAGACTCAATGGTGGTGGGATTGTAGGCTGACACTCCCCTGCTCCATGTTTAAAATCCATATATGAGTGAGTACATACTGTGTTTGTCTTTTTGTGACTGGGTTACCTCACTTAGCATGGTATATTCTAGTGGAGGAGTGTTCCCATTTTTCCACATTCTCTCCAGCATAAACTGTCCTTGGTGTTTTTGATTTTAGCCATTTTGACAGGAGTAAGATGGTATTTCAGAGTTATTTTGATTTGCACTTCCCTGATGGATAAGGATGTTGAGCACTTTCTTAAGTGTCTCTCAGCCATTTCAGACTCCTCTATTGAGACTTCTCTATTTAGTTCTGTACCCCACTTTTTAATTGGATCCTTTGGTGTTTTGGAGACTTGCTTCTTGAGTTCTTTGTAAATTTTGGAGATCAGCCCTCTGTCAGATGTGGGGTTAGTGAATATCTTTTCTCATTCTGTGGGCTACCTTTTTGTCTTGCTGACTGTGTTCTTTGCCTTACAGAAGCTTCTCAGTTTCAGGAGGCCCCATTTATTAATTGAAGATCTCAGTGTCTGTGTTACTGTGTTATGTTCAGGAAGCTGTCTCCTGTACCAGTTTGTTCAAGAGTACCTCCTACTTTCTCTTTTAAGAGGTTGAATATGACTAGATTTATGTTGAGGTCTTTGACCCATTTGGACTTAAGTTTTGTGCATGGCTATAGATACGGATCTATCTGCAGTCTTTTGAATGCCAGCATCCAGTTATGCCAGCACCATTTGTTGAAGATGCTTTCTTTTTTCCATTGTATAATTTTAGCTTCTTTGTCAAAAATCAAGTGTTTGTAGGTGTGTGGGTTAATATTGGGGTTTTCAATTCAATTCCATTTTGTCTCCCTGTCTATTTTTGTGCCAATACCAAGCTCTTTTCAGGACTATAGCTCTATAATAGAGCTTGAAGTCAGGGATGGTGATGCCTCTGGAAGTTCCTTTATTACAGAGGGATGTTTTGGCTATCCTGGGGCTTTTGTTTTTCCATATAAAGTTGATTATTGTTCTTTCAAGGTGTGTGAAGAATTGTGCTGGGATTTTGATGGGGATTTCATTGAAATTGCTTTTGGCAAGATTGCCATTTTTACTATGTTGATCCTAACTATCTAAGAACATGGGAGATCTTTTCATTTTCAATTATCTCCTTTAATTTCTTTCTTTAAAGACTCAAAGTTCTTGCTATACAGGTCTTTCACTTTTTTGGTAAATGTTACTCCAAGATATTTTATGTTGTTTGTGGCTACTGTAAAGGGTGATGTTTCTCTGATTTCTTTCTCAGCCCATTTGTCGTCTGTATATAGTAGGGCTATTGATTTTTTTGAGTTAATCTTGTATCCTGCTACTTTGCTGAAGGTATTTATCAGCTGTAGGACTTCCTGTTTGGAGTTTTTTTGGGTCACTTATGTAAGCTATTATATCATCTGCAAATAGTGAAAATTTGACTTCTTCCTTTCCAATTTGTATCCCCTTTATCTTACTTATTGCTGTAGCTAGAACTTCAAGTGCAATATTGAAGAGATATGGAGAAAGTCAACAGCCTTGTCTTGTTCCTGATTTTAGAGGAATCACCTTGAGTTTCTCTCCATTTAGTTTGATGTTGGCTGTTGGTTTACTTTATATTGCTTTTATTATGATCAGGTATGTTCCTGTTATCTCTGATGTCTCCAGGACCTTTATCATGAAGGGTGTTGGATTTTGTCAAAGGCTTTTTCAGCATCTAGTGAGATGTGGTTTTTGCTTTGCAGTTTGTTTATATGGTGGATTTCATTGATAGATTTTTGTATGTCTGGTGGTCCTGTCTAGTGGTGAGAGTGGGGTGTTGAAGCCTCCCACTATAACTGTGTGAGGTCTTATGTGTGCTTTGAATTTTAGTAATATTTCTTTTACTAACGTGGGTGCCTTTGTATTTGGGGCATAGATGTTCAGAATTAGACTTCTTACTGATGGAGTTTTCCTGTGATGAATGTGAAATGAACTTCTTTATCTCTTTTGATTGATTTTTGTTTAAAGTCTAATTTGTTCTATACTAGGATATCTACACCATCTTGTTTCTTGGGTTCATTTAATTGGAAAATAGTATACTAATCCTTTACTCTGAGGTAATGTCTATCTTTGAAGTTGATGTATGTTTCTTGTATGCAGCAGAAGGATGGATTCTATCTTCCATATACATTCTGTTAGCCTGTATCTTTTTATAGGCAAATTAAGTCCACTAATATTCAGGGAAATTAAGGTCCATAGTGTGTTAATTCTTGTTTGATTTTGATTTGTTGTTGTTGGTATTATTGTTTGTTTATTTACCCTGCTTTTTCTTTTGGTTTTTGGTAAAGTGGGATTATCTATTGCTTATTTTTTTGAGCATAGTTAACTTCCTTAGATTGCAGTTTTCCTTCCAGTACTTTCTGTAGGGCTTGATTAGTGGATATGTATCATTTAAACCTGGTTTTGTCTTGGAATATCTTGTTTTCTCCATCTATAGTGATTGAAAGCTTTGCTGATATAGTAGTGTGGGCTGGCATCTGTGGTACTTGGTGTTTGTAGAATATCTATCTAGGACCTTCTGGCTTTCAGAGTTTCTCATGGAGAAGTCAGGTGTGATTCTGATAGGTTTGCCTTTATATGTCACTTGGCCTTTTCTTTTGTTGCTCTTAATATTCTTTCTTTATTCTGTATGTTTGGTGATTTAATTATCATGTTGTTAGGGGACTTTTTGTGGTCCACTTTATTCGGTGTTCTGCAGACTTCTAGTACTTTCATTGGCATGTCTTTCTTTAGGTTGGAAAGTTTTCTTCTATGATTTTGTTGAATGTTTTCTGCCCCTTTGAGGTGGTTTTCTTCACCTTCTTCTATCCCTATTATTCTTAGGTTTGGCTTTTTCACAGTGTCCCATATTTCCTGGATATTTTCTGTTAGGGATTTGTTGGACTTAAGATTTTGTTTTTTTGATGAATCTGTTTCTCCTAGTGTATCTCCTAGTGTAATGCCTGAGATTCTCTCTTCCAACTCTTGTATTCTCTTGATTATGCTTGCATCTGTAGTTCCTGATCGTTCATCCACCTTTTCTAATTCCAGCATTCCTTCAGACTGTGTTTTTTTCTTTTTAAATTTAAATTAGAAACAAGACTGCTTCACATGTCAATCCCTGCTCCCTCTCCCTCTCCCTCCCCTCTTCCCACACCCTCCCACCAACCCTTCCCACCCCCTCCCCCAATCCCCACTCCTTTCCCCAGGGTGGGTGAGGCCCTCCATGGGGGGTGTCCATAGTCTGTTATTTCATTCAGGGCAGGGCCTAGACCCTCCCCAAAGAGTCCATGCTGAGAGAGCATCCCTCATTGTGGGATGGGAACCCAAAGTGCATTCGGATGACAGGGATAAATACTGATCTACTACCCAAGGCCCCATAGATTGACTAGGACTCCTCACTGACACCTACATTCAGGGGGTCTGGATCAGTCCCATGCTGCCTTCCCAGCCATCAGTCTGAGGTTCAAGAACTCCCCCTTGTTCAGGTCAGCTGTTTCTGTGGGTTAAACAAGCCCAGTCTTGACCCCTTAGTCCATCAGTTCTCCCTCTCTGTCACTGGGTTCCTTGAGTTCAGCTCAGTGTTTAGCTGTGGGTGTCTGCCTCTGCTTCCATCAGTCATTGTTTGAAGTTTTTGTTTCCCAGACTCTCTGGCAGTGGGATTGTACGCTGGCACTCCCCTGATCCATGTCTAAAATCCAAATATGAGTGAGTACATACCATGCTTGTCTCATACTGTGTTTACCGACTGTGTTTTTTTAAAGATCTATTTATTATTACACAGTGCTGCATGTATGCCTGCATGCCAGAAGAGGACACCAGATCTCATTATAGATGGTTGTGGTTGCTGGGAATTGAACTCAGGACATCTGGAAGAGCAGTCAGTTTTCTTAACCTCTGAGCCATATTTCCAGCCCCCAGACTGTGTTTTTTATTGTCTCTAGTTGAGCTTTCAACCCTTGCAGTGTTTGAATTGCTTCTTGCAATATTTGGTTTGTCTTTTCTTCCATTTCTTTAAAGGATTTTCTCATTTCCTCTTCTAGTGTCTCTATCATCTTAGTGAAGTTGGTTTTAAGGTTATTCTTTTTTGCTTCATCTGTGTTGGGAGGTTCAGGTCTTGCTGGTGTAGAGTCCCTAGACTCTGGTGGTATCATATTGGTTTTTCTGTTGTTGAATGTCTTCTTATATTGTCGTCTTCCTATCCCTTCTTCCAGTGGGTATAGGTGGGGATCTCTTCTTCTCCTGGTACGTGTCCATGGTTCTCTTCAGGTGGTTGCAAGCAGATCTAATACTCTGTTTGGTCTCATGGTGAGTACCGACAGGTCTGAGGCACTCCCTCTCCTGGTGAGTGGGAACTGGAGTAGCTCTCCAGGCCTGGAGATCCCAGAGTGGGCAAGCAGAAGTGGCTCCTGAGGTCCTGAGGTGGGGCTGGAGCTCACCTCTGCCCTTAGAGGGGGCGGGTGTAGATCAGCAATCTCAGCAGGCTAGCTGTTGCTTGGTGAGCTGGGGGTGAGTCCCGAGACCAGGAGATCCTTGTTTTTCAATTTTAAAAATTGCATTTTTTCTTTTGAGATTGTGTCTTAAAATATAGCTCAGGCTGATCTCAAATTCAGTCTTCCTGACAGCCTCCTGAGTGGTAGAATGATAGGCATTCTTCAATATGCATAATGCAAGCATTGCTTTTCATTTGATTATGGAGTAGCAAAAATGCTCCCCCCCAAAAGACTATATGTCTCTCATGTAGGTGATTTCCAGGATAGAGAAGAAATCAATATTAAAAGATTTATTCACGTGGGTAAATTGACTTTTATTTCAGATAGTCATTTTAAACATTTAGCTTTCTCTTCCCCCTGTTTAAAAAATTAGCATGTTCACAAATACTTAGTTCCTTTGGCTGTAGTATGACTGGCTGTGTAGAAGTTTCAGTGTGAGTTCCTTATATCAACAACTGATTTCAGTCCCTGTAGAGTTACTGAACTTCTGTTGATGATCAGGAAGCTGCTGACCTCATCGATAATTTTGTCTAGGCTACGTGAAGTGTTTCAGAAGGCTGTTCACTCAAAAGAGACTTAAATATTGTAGCATTGCATCTATAAAAGATCACATGTGTGGTCTGGGAAGTTAATAAATACACATGACAGCATTTTTTATTGCAATTAAGCCTTGATGAATGTGTGATAAAAATCAAGATGTGTTTATTTTCTGTTGAAAAACATTGGCAGCAGCTTTCTGTGAGTTCCTGGAATTGCCTCAAACTGTTGTGACTTGATATGTATTAAGACAGAACACTGAAATCTTATTTAGATGTGCTTAGGGACGGGGAAGAAGGGGGGAGAAGATGCCAGTCAATAGGGAAACTATGGCTTCACTGCTGTAATGATTTAACACATTGGTGGCTTTTGTTCTAAATAGGCACTTTAGTCAATGATTTTCAATATTAAATAAATATTATCAGTCTATCTTTATCTAAAATTTGACTTTTTTCCTCTTAAACTTTCAGGTAACATTTGATCCAGAAGTATTTTTCAACATTCTGCTGCCTCCAATTATTTTCCATGCTGGATACAGTTTAAAGAAGGTATAAGCATTTGGCCAGTGATTTCTTAAGAGTTTCAGTGTTAATTGACCTGGATAATAATCTAGTTTTCCCCTTAAAATCTCAGATTTCTCTGTTCTGTACCCACTCAGACACCATAGGTAGCTCATTATCAATGATTTGTTTCTGTTTAAAATCTAGTGCTCTTCCATGCTACCAGTAGGAATGTAGCATAATATGTAACACTTTGGCAGGCAAAGTGAGAGTTTCTCGTAAGATTGAAGTAAAAATTGTCTTAAGGCCTAACAACTTCACTGCTGAGGATTTTTTGAAGAGAAAGTAAATGTATGTTCACACAAAAACCTATGCCTCATTCTTCAAACTATCTTATTTGTATGACAAAAACCAAAAAGCAACCAAAATGCCTTCCTGTAGGTAATAGTTAAACAAGCTATATGTAGATACCATAGAAAAATCTTCAGTGGTCACATGAAAAAATGCTTGATATACAATCTGGATAGGTTTATAAGGCATTATGCTGTGTCAAACCATCCAGATTCAAGGTTATATGCTGTATTACTTTATTTATGTAGCATTACAGAAATGACAAAATTACAGAGCTAGAGAACAAATTTGTGGTTGCCTGGAATTAGGAATGATGGTAAAGTAGACTTTGGGGAGAGAGACCACAAGGGACATTTTTGTAGTCATAGAATATGTCGGTATGTTAAACAATATTTTTCTGGTGCCAAGGATGTGATGCTGAGCCTCGCACACATGCTAGATGAGTGTTATACTCAGGCCAGTTCTGTATCTTGACCATGGCAGTAGTTACACAATCTGCACATGTGATAAAATTACATTGACACAGTACCAATGCCAGTTTCCTGGTATTGGGTACTTTCCTATGGTTACGTATGATACAGTCAGTGGGGGGAAATGGATGAAGGGTACACAAAGCCTTTTTATACTGTCTTTGCAACTTTGGTAAATCCATTGTTAGTCTAAAGATTAAAAAAAGTTTTAAAGAATGTAATATTCCCATTACTAAGAATCACTGTACTTAACAGCATAAGATGTACTTGCTAGCATAAACCTTTGTCTACTTGAAAAACCAAGTATGTTTACAAAACAGATAGATCGATCGACCTGTCTGTCTGTCTGGTGGGTGGATCTGTCTGTCTCTGTGTCTATCTGTCTGTTTCTATCTGTCTCTGTCTCTCTCTTATTGTGGGGATATTGTATGAACATTACCTCTCCAAAGGCCTTCCTAGGATAACAGCCTCCTAGGAGGACTAGACTTAGACAAGAACTAGGACTAGTTACCTGGACACAGCTCCAGGCCTAGAGAAGAGAGATCTCGGCTGACAGTAAACATCTTTATGAACTAGAAAATGACTTCTAAATGGATAAACTCTGGATAGATTAATTGGAAAAACTGTATTAGAATAAGAGAGGGTATCACTATAGAATATTCAGACATTCAACCGATAATAAAGTAGTACTCAGAACAATTCTGTGCCAGTAAATCGTATGGGGAGGGAGAAGTTAATCTCAGGTGTGATTCTTCAGGCACCATATACCTCATTATTTTTGAGACAAGGTTTTTTATTGGCCTGAAACTCTCTAAGTAGGCTATCCTGGCTGGTTAGGAGTTCCAGGGATCTACTTTTCTTAACCTTCTCAGCACTGGGTATGCCACCATGCCAACCTTGGCTTTTGCGCTCTCTCTCTCTCTCTCTCTCTCTCTCTCTCTCTCTCTCTCTCTCTCTCTCTCTCTCTCTCTCTCTCTCTCTCTCTGTCTCTCTCTCTCTCTCTCTCTCTGTGTGTGTTGTTGTATATATGTGAGTTTGCAAGTATATGTACTCGTTTGTGTGCAAGGAGATGCCAGAGGAGGATAGTAAGTGTTTCCCTCTGTTGCCGTCTCTCTGTCTTGTTGCATCGAGATAGGCTTTTCACGGACCAGAAACTCACTGTTTGGCTAGGGTGGCTGACCAGCAAGATCTCATAAGCTACCTGTCTTCTGCCTCCCAGTGCTGGGATCACGGAACACACAGCTGTGCCCAGATTTTCATGTGTGTTCTAAGGATTCAAATTTAGGTACTTGTGCTGGCAAAGCTAGAAATTTTACTCCTGAGCCATCTACCTCCATCCAGCCTTTTGTTTTATGTAGATGTTGAAGATCAAATACAGGTCTTCATGCTTTCATGGGAAGCACTTTCTAGCCTAAGGTGTCTACTAGCCCTTGTACTAGTAAACTTGCCAAGTGAAATGTACAGTTTCACAAATTAATAAAACTGATCAGAGGCTCTATATTAAACAAAAGCCTGAATTAATAATTAAAAATCTACTACAACCCTATATGGTTTCATTAGTGAACTCTACCAAGTGTTTAAGGAAGAAGTAAAACCATCCCTGTAAAAAGCTCTTTCAGAAAATAGAAGACAGGACACTTCCCAATTCCCTTTAGGAGAGGATGCCTGCCCAACAGATGGAATTTTCGGTTGAAGCCATTCCTTCTTTTTAAGTTCTTTATGGAGCATCAGCTAGGTACAGTTACTCAACATATTTATTTATGTTTATATATCTATATGAATTTTCATGGAAACTATAATAAAATAATGATGGTTGAACATAGACACAAGGAGTTAACTCCCGACTAAATAATTTATGATTCAAAATCCCTGGAAAACCTATTGGAGTATGAAGTTTAGCTCTTAGTAATGGTATACCAGAAGTACTTCATGCACTGAAGACAGAAAGACAATGGCCTATTAGCTACCAGCTTAGTCAGTCAGAGGTAGGAGACTAAAATGGAGAGATCCTAGAAACTGCTGTGCAGGACAAAGGGTGCCTCTTCACTCACAGTGTGGACACTGGAGGAACAAGTACAGGCATCCTGCCTAGTGCAAAAGGGTTAGGACTTGAAGCCAAGGTAAGCATTGTTCCCGTTAGTAAGTAAAGTGAGCACTCCCTACTGCATCACTCTGGGACAGGAGAGGAATATGAAAGGGCTAGGCTGCTGGATACCTGAGAAACAGGAGGCTGTGGGTTTTTTTTTGTGAGACAGGATTTCTCTGTATTGTTTCGGAGGCTATCGGTCCAGCCCAGCCTCGAACTCACAGAGATCCGCCTGCCTCTGCCTCCTGAGTGCTGGGATTAAAGGTGTGCGCCACCGCCCGGCGAGGCTGTGTTTTTCTACACACTCAGAATGATTGATGCTGCAGGTGAGGGTATACAGGAGATGCACAACTAAATCAAAGCCAGTCCTTCTCTGTCCCAATTCCTGGTTCAGATGTTCCTTTGTGCCACACTGGCTCTAAATGCAGGTTTTCCATATAAAACCTCCCAAACATACTGTTTTTCCAAATTGTTTTTACAGTTGCCAAAGTAATCTGAATCTTCACATCATTTATTGACACATAATAGATAGGGAATGGTTATTATAAGTATAATATAATTTTTCCCTCAGAGGAAAACTTGGGAACTCTTCTTTGGATCAAATGGATTATGAGTAATTTATTTGTAAAAACTAATGTTTACATACAGTCAAAGTCATAGTTGCTTTAAAATGAAAGCAAATCAGAGGTTATGAAAGCCTTGCTAATGGTTGAAAACATTTTGGCAGAACCTTCCCTTCATCAGCTCTGTTTTCTTAAAAGAATCTCAAATAACCAGCTTTTCCTGTTACCAATTTAACTTATTTTTGACACTCTAGTCTTCCAAGTTACCAACCATTAGTGCTTTTTTTTTCAACAATCCTTATAAAGTCACCAGATAGATGGTTGTTACTGTGTTTGACATCTCTGATTGTACCTATTGTTGATTAAAAGGTGATAAATATTTTACCATTTAATTTGTTATATATAAGTAGACATATTTGAATCATTTGATGTATGTATGTTCTATACAGCTCTGCAGACATGCCTTGAAAAAGTTACTATTGAATTTGCCCTTGATTTTGTGCCACTGCCTTGTGGTTTGTTTATAGGGCACTAGTTTTGGAAAAATCATCTAGATAGCTTTTTTGTGACCATCTCAAACACACACACACACACACACACACACACACACACACACACACACACACACACACACACACACACGCACGCACACCACAGATGGTGGGATTGGGGATAGAATTGTTTCCCCAGCAGTAGGAAGGTAAGGCTGAGAATGGTACACTACTAACTGGGATGTCCAATGGATTTCACCAAAAGTGAACCTCATTCTGGTCTGTGCTGGGCTTAGATTCTTGAAGGCTTTACTTGGGCATGCCACTATCTCCCTCTTCCCCTCTGTTTGTCATTCTGTGTCTGAGAGAGAAGAATAGAGACCAGTCATGACTATAAAAATAGAAAGAAAGGTCTAGTGTTTAATTCAGTAACACATGTCCTTCCTTTTTTCCTCACAAAGCAGAGTTGTGGAGCTTGGTAAAGCCATGCACCTGAAGTCCAGAGACTGGGTCTGCAGTTCACGGTCATAGTTTGGTAGACACATGACTTTAGGCAACTTAAACCATGTCATAGAACCTTAGATTTTTCTCATGTAAGATGGTTCAAGAGCTGGATATGTAAGCTCATGCCTAGAATCCCAGCACTGGGGAGGTTAAAGCAAGAGGACTTCCACTAGTTTAAAACCAGCCTGGGTTACAGGGTGAATCCCTCTGTCTAAAGAACAAAACAGCTGATAATTTAGTTCATTGGTGAAGCACTTATCTAACATACACAAGATCCTAAGTCAATCTCCAGTATGGCCAAAACAATAAACAAATTAGTAAAATAGAATGAAATGCCACTGGGTTGCTGTGAGAATTGGATGAGCTAATATATACGAAAATACTTTGTGTATTATGAAATGTGTGTTTAAATGCTGATATAATATGCAAGACAAGTGGCATGTCTTTTCAAAATAAAAATTAGTTCAGTAGGTTTGAATGAGAAATGAATAATTTTTACTTTGTGTGGGGAGAAGAGTTTGAGATTCTGTATTTTTGTACAGAATGTATTTTTGTAGATTTACATTTCTGATTTTGTGCTTTAGCTAATACCATAAATGTGAACTTATCTGTGTTCCTGTTAACCCTGGGAATAATTGCTCAAAACAAAGCTGAATGAACCTACTCTAGTTGGCAGTGTGAACCTGGGAGAATGGAGCCTAAAAAAGAGGCAGACTAAAGTCTCATGTAATAGCCAACTTTATTTAGGGCACCAGATAATTTATATTCTGAGGGCTATTGTGCTGGCTAGAATTTTGTTAACTTGACACAAGCTAGAGTTATCTGAGAGGAGGGAATCTCAACTGAGAAAATGGATCCATGAGATCCAGCTGTAAGGCATTTATTTTCTTAATTAGTGATTGATGGGGGAGGACCTAGCCCATTGTGGGTGGTACCATCTCTGGGCTGGTGGTCAAATATCTCTCAAATGACACTTTTTATTTGTTTCAGACTTACATCTTTAATGAGCTTCTAAGATCCCACTAGAGCAGGAAGTAACTGGCAGGACTGTGGAATAAGCTGGTTTGTGTCCAGTCTCAAAAAATAATTGGTTTTCTTATATATATGTGTGGGCACATATATATGCTTAATACAGTTCTTTATAATTAGCCAGAATTGTTTTCTCTAAAATTTATTAGGTTCTTGGTAACTTGCTCAGTGATTGACAGTGCAGAGGATATTTTAAAATCATGATGTTTAAGGTTGAATAGCATAATTTAGGACTGACTCCTGATATTACAGTGTAGCATATTAGGTTTTAGAGGCTTTGAATGTAATGCTTTTGTTTATATATTTGATTTTTTGACTTGTTACCAAGAATTACAATAATCCTTATTTTTTGTTGTTTCATTCAGAGACACTTTTTCAGAAATCTTGGATCGATTCTGGCCTATGCCTTCTTGGGGACAGCTGTTTCTTGCTTCATTATTGGGTAAATGATTCTTTTTTGTATAACTAGTCTAACATACTACCCAAAGGAATGAGATTCACCAATATGATGTACAAAGCAGTATTTTAATGTTGTGTGAGGATGGCAGTTAGGATAGAGAGTTATCCTGTCTAGTATAGTAGCTGTTAGCTTCACGTGGGCACTAAATTTAAATTAAGAATAATTAAAATGAACTAAAATTACTAGATCCTAATTTTATATAGCATTCTCTACTAATAAAAGAACCAGTGCCTCTTATTCTAGGACAGGCACAGGAAATTTACATGAAGATAAAGCATCATTTAATGCCAGAGAGTAAGCAAATGCACAAAAGACAGACAGCAATAAAGATAAAAGGCATGTCAAAGGAACTCAAAAGCCAACCTGAAGTTTTCACCATAGCCAGAGCCCATAAGTGCCTGAAACACAATAAAATAAATAATTTTCTATTAGATTAATAGAGAATAAAATAAATATTCCTGAGTCCACACAGAGAGATAAGTTAATGAAGAAATAATGAGAAGAGACACATTTCATGTGCCAATTTGTATGAGTGTTATAGATATATCCCCTTCAAAGTGGTAGAACTTGGTCACACCATCCCCAGGTCTTCATTCCAACCTAGTTTTGAGTGTGACCTGTATGTTGTAGTTTCCTATAAAGAGTATTGTGTAGAAAATAGGGGAAGAAGAGAATAGCCTGGGTTCTTGGTAAATGCCCAACCATAAAAGCTGCCTATTGCTCTCCTGAATTTCCCTTAAAGTACAGTGTTTAATAGTACTCTGTTACTCTGTTTATATGCCAGCAAGAGTTTTCCCTGACACTGTTTACCTATCATTTTACAGAAATCTTATGTATGGCGTGGTGAAACTCATGAAGATTGTGGGCCAGCTCTCAGATAAATTTTACTACACAGATTGTCTCTTTTTTGGAGCAATTATCTCTGCCACTGATCCAGGTAATTAGACATTTGGCTTGATCATTATGTTACTATATTATTTAACTCTTATACAGTTCAGAGCAGTCATTGACTTTTGTGGCAGTAGAGAGACTGTGGCATTAAAAGAAGATGAAGGAAGTGAATAATAGATCTAACATACAGGCTTTCTAGAGAAGTATATGTTTATTTTCTGTGGTGGTTTGAATACAATGCCCTCCATGGTCTCAGACACTTGAATACATGGTCCCCATTTGGTGGCGCTGTTTGGAAAAACTTAGGAGGTTGGCCTTGTTTGAGGAAGTACTTTGCTGGAGGTGGGCTGTGAGAGTTTTAAAAGCCTCATGTCATTGTTAGGTCACTCTGTGCTTGTGATTTAAATCGTGAGTTTTCAGTTTCTTCTAGCCACCATACCTGGTACTTGCTGCCACTGGAGAAGCATAATGGTGATAGACTCTTATCATTCTGAAACCTTAAGTCCTAATAGACCCTTCCTTCTGTAAGCTGCCTTGGTCAGTTTTTTAAATCATGGCAGTAAAAAGTTAACTAATATACCTTTTGATTGTGGTAAAATATAATTTAGCATCTTAATTTCTGAGTAGATACTTCAGTATCGTAAAGTATATCATTCAGCATAATTTCTTGAACTTTTTCCATTTTTCATAACTGCAACTCTAAACTCATATAATAACAGCTGCCCTTTTCCTTTCTGTCTGGCTTTTTGCAGGAATCCTTCTACTTTTTCCTCTGTTTCCTTGTGTATGTAAAAATCTTACAATGGTTGTCATTTTGTCACTGGCTCATTTCACTTAGCATCCTGCCCTGCCAGTTTATCCATGGTGCAGCATGTGCCATGATTTCCTCCCTTTTAAGGTTGAATACTATTTCACATTTTGCTTATTGAACCATCTGTTTATAGACACTTGCGTTGTCTCTACCTGAATTTCCCTCTTGTCTCTCATTTTAGAATGACTACCATGAACATACTTTTAGACTGCATTCTTTCTCGGCATTGTGCCTTCACCTTCCTTTAGGAAATATACCATTTGATTTGAATAATGATTTTCCTTAATGGAAACAGTTGTGTTTATAAACATTTTTGTGTAGAGTTCTTGTGATAGAATTGTTGTAAATCTTTTATCTTGTAATATTCAAGTGTTAAATGAACCAGTTCCTAAAAGTGGAGTTAATGTATAGCCCTTTTCCCCCATATCTCAAAAATACAAACAAGATAGTTTAACTCCAAGTTAGAATGTATAAAGCATGCTGGGTGGTGGTGGTTGTGGTGCATGCCTTTAATCCCAGCACTTGGGAGGCAGAGGCAGGCCTGGTCTTCCAGGACAGCTAAGGCTACACAGAGAAACCCTGTCTTGAAAATCAAAACAAAAAAAAGAATGTATAAAACAGAGCAGGGGGCTGGAGAGATGACTCAGTGGCTGCTCATGTAGAAGATCCAGGTTCGATTCCCAGTACTCACATGGTAGGTCACAACCATCTGTAACTCCAGTTCCAGGGGACCCACGTGCAGGGAGAATACCTTACATATCAAATTTTAAAGTCCTCCCAAAGTATCAACTATTACTTTCTGTAATGTCAGCTATTACAAGTCCATGCTCCATGTCTATGGATTCAATTAACTGCAGACCAAATGCAGTTTTAAAAACCTCCAAATTATATGTGTGTTCATATATTTTCCTAAATATAATCTCCTGGGTCCATATAATGTTGCTTGTATGCATGAGTTCAGGGCTATGAAAAAAGAGATCATGAATTTGAAGGAAAGTAGGAGAGATATTTGCAAGGAGGAAAGGGAAGGGAGAAATGTTGTAATTAAGTTGTAATCTCAAAACTAAAAATAATTTCACATATAATGAAGTTGTAATGTAGTTTTTTTCTTGTCTTATTCCATAACCAATATAATATAGCAACTACTTACGTTGATGTCTCTATTGTTGCTTAGCTAGCTCTACAAAAACATTCTGAGCAGCAATAATCTTAATGATAGTTCCCACTTGAGCATGCCTCTTAGTGGTCCTCTAGATTAGTGTTATTCCTCAGCTCTTTCTGCAAAGAATGTTCTGTAGTCTGTTTGCTTATTCCACTATGGTAGCCACTGGTCTTTGCTGCCACTGAGCAGTTGAAATGTGGGATACTGCAAATGGAAGAACTGAGCTTTAGTTTTCATTTAATAGTAAAGATGTTAAATTAAGTGACTTCATATGACTAGTCATCACCAGATTGAACAGTGCGGTATAAGACAGTTGTGTAGTTCTGAAGAATCTCAGTGTTCCAAAATACAGTAGCCTATCTCTTTTTTTCCTTTCAATTAAAAACAATCCTATTTTACCTGCCAATCTCAGTTCCCTCTCCCTCCCGTCCTCCCATACTCCCCAAACAGTAACCTTTTTTACTGCCATATATTATCATAGATACTCTAAATTAGTATTGAAGGATTGGCTGCTTGAGGCAACTTGGTTTGTGTAAAGGTGAGATTGTGGAGCCTTGGCCTTTGGGTTAAGCTCTCACTGGGTCAGTAACTGATCTGCTGGCTTGGGCCCACTTTCCCTTCTCCTGTTAGCATCCTCATCTGTAAAGTGGAAGTAAATGGTTCCTGTTTCTAAGGCTCTTGTGAGAATTAAATGCAGCCACACATGCAAAACACTGAACTTAACATTTGCTGATTATGTTGGCCTCTGCACATCTGACTTGGGCAGAGAGTTCTACGTTCCTCATGTTTGTTTAAAAGATAAATGATAGGTCCTCACTACTCAAGCAAGCTTCTAAAAAACACTCTGGCCGGGCATCGGTGGCGCGCGCCTTTAATCCCAGCACTCGGGAGGCAGAGGCAGGCAGATCTCTGTGAGTTGGAGGCCAGCCTGGTCTACAGAGCGAGTTCCAGGACAACCTCAAAACAATACAGAGAAACCCTGTCTCAGAAAATCAAAACCAAACACTCTGAAAGGTATTTAAATGCTAGGCTATCTGTGACTATGTTCAGAGGATAGTCTGTTGAGAAATAGTCTTCAGAAGCCTGAGAAAGGTGTTTGCATTGTCTGAATGTATATTACTGTTTATATTTGTGTGTACCTTTATTATTATAATCTTATTGGTACTATCACCAAGTAATATGAGGTGTGATAAAGATTGCAGATACTGTTTTCTGAACTATTAGTGTTGCTTCACTTATAATTGATAAAAGGTCCCCTTTTTCCAGATTATCTATATAACTGTTTATTTCCTTATAATGTGTCTTAGTTACTATGTTATAAAATAATGGGAAGCATTGTCATGTTACATCATTTTTATTTGACCTCTGAAGATTGGCATATTAAGAGTTCCATGTAAATAAAAGTTCTAGAAAATTAGAAGTTTAAACTTGTTAGACATTAGAGCATTAAGTGCTTTTTGAATGGATAGTTTTTGAAAGTAGTTTACTAACCTTCTAAAAATCTGCTATTTGAAAACTGCCATAAAGAGATTGATATTTGAATGCAGAGTTAGAGGATGGTACCAAAAAACAAACAATAAAAAGAGGCCTGGTTTTGCTTACAGTGAAGTATGTCAGTCATTCTCTTAACCTACACATTTTATAAAACCGAAGGCCATTTACTTGGCAGCTGAGGGTGAAGGTGAGAGAACCCAGTCTCAAATCCTCTTCCCCGAGGATAGGGGTGGGGCTGTTTGTCGGATAATGGAGCAGGGTGATTTAAGACATGGGGAAATGTGGCTGGAGATGAAGTAATCAGTGGTCTAAACACATGTATACTTATCTTCATGGGTCTTCATGGAACACGTGTTTAGAAAAAGGTACTGTTAATGTGATATGGGGGAAGACTAGCTGCATAGGCCTGCGGGAAGATTTGCTGGTATCAACAAAAATGGCTTGAAGTTATTACTTGGGCTGCTGTTATTATTGTGACCCTCAGTCAGAGATATTATCTACACAAAGCTAGTGTGGGGGTGAATAACTTCTAATAATATAGTATATGATATATTGGCGGCGGCGGCGGTGGTGGTGGTGGTGCACGCCTTTAATCCCAACATTCAGGAGGTAGGCAGAAGCAGGCAGATATCTGAGTTTGAGGCCAGTCTGGTCTACAGAGCAAGTTCCAGGACAGCCAGGGATACACAGAGAGACTCTGTTTTGGAAAAACAAAAACAAAAAAGGAAAAAACCCCTCAGCCAAAAGCACGTAGCTAAGTGGTCGTGTGGATGGGCAGAGTCACAGAAGTCATGAGACCAGCTGCACTTGCTTGATGGTTTGCTTTTAGAGGCAGCGTTTCGTTTTAGCCCAGGGTGGCTTAGAACTCACTGTGTAGCACAGGCTGACCTCATTGCTGCCTTGACCTTTTGCATGCTGGCATTACAAGTCTGAGCAACCTCATCTAGCTGTTTAATGATCAGATTTGGGAGACCATTCTCCTGTGTAGTTTTGGAGACTGATGTCTTACGCTTTTGATAATCTTGGAGAATGGCTGTCAGGAGAGTCATTGAGATGTTTTTGAGCAGCAAAACACACATATTTACAACTGTGCTCACTCTTTTGATAAATGCCCACCTAACAGTCGTGGCCCTTTGAGCAATGAGTTGGTTTTAGAGGACTACTAGATCAGATTGACTTCTTGTTTCGAAGTCATCAAACACAAATTTTAGTATGGAGTGATATTGACTGTCAGGAAAAAAGAAGAGCTTCTTATTCCTGATTACATTATACTTGACTTAAGATATCAATCTTTGTTTTTTTCATTGAAAATGGCACCATACATGTGTCTTCACTTGTGGTTGGTATCATGATCTCTTCAGATGGCCATTTTAGATTGATTTGCCACTGAGGAAAGAAAATGTAGGATTCCATCTTCTAGTGTATCTGTAGGCAGAGAACATTAGTGCTATTTCTTCCTGTGACTCATTATGAACTGTTGTTTCCCCTAGTCTTGATATGTGTGTACATGCATGCATGTAGGGAGTTGCAGAGAACCAGACTCAGGGCGTACTAGGCAAGCACTCTCCCATTGAGACAC